GGCTCTGTGTCGAGGGTTGGAGGTGGGGGGCGAGGCCACGGCCCTATCTATGGAAGCCCACAGACTTGGTATTTTGCTGCTTATGTAAGTTACACATGGACAAGGGGCGTGATGATGACAGTTAGGAAACGTTTAACCGGAACGTAGAGCCCCCCCTCCCTCCCGTGGTGTTCAGGCACCGCCCCCTCCCCCCCTTCTCCGGAGAACATTCGATCTAACTTTGAAAACTCCAGCCCGAGATCGCCGCTCTAGCTTGGCTGTGATTATTTTTAGGGGATTATCACCCTGGGCTGTGACCTGGCTCCATGCCACCCACTCCAAGGAGACAGGAGGTGCAAGCAGGCCGATTTGAATGTTTTATTCCCACAAAGCAGAGAAGCTGGCGTGGCCTGGGGACTTCCTCCGGCAGAGGTGCACGCTGGGTTCTCGGGGCTGCCCCACCAGCGGGCTGGTTTGCAGGCAGGCCGTCATGGGTGCCGGGGGAAGGGTCCAGGTACGCAGGGCGGTGGGTTGGGGCAGAGCTTGTGGGACTAGAGGTAGCAGGGCAGGTCCTTCTCGATCACCTGGCGAGGGAAGGTGAGGGTCAGGGCCTTCCTCTCCCCGGTCCCTCACCCCCCCACCCCCCCACCCACTCGCAGCACCTACCAAGGGCTCCTCCATGGGGCCATACCGCTTCACCACACAGCCGTTCTTGTCCACAAGGAACTGCCAGGGGCGGAGGGAGTTCAGCGACACCTGGGAGCTGGCCCGAGGGCCCGGCCCCACCCCACAACACCCCCCCTTACCTTGGTGAAGTTCCACTTGATGGCGCTACAGAAGAAAAGTACCGTCACAGGGCTGTGGATGGGCAGCCCCTCCCCTGACACTGACTTCCCCAGGATGCCCCGCCCCTGTTCGATGCGCCACCCGCCCCAGGCCCCAATCACTCACTTCCCCAGGATGCCCCGCCCCTTAGGTTGGACTTTCATCCACTTCCACAGCGGGTGGGCGTCGTCGCCGTTCACGCAGACCTTGCTGTACATATCGAATTTGACATTATAGCCGGCAGCGAACTCTTTAATCTCGGCATTACTTCCTGGCTCCTGTGGGCGGGAAGCCAGGGTTCAGGGTCAGTGGGGTGGGTAAGGGTGCAGTGTGTCTGACAGCCCGCTCCGGCCTTGTCCCACTTCGCTCTACCTTCAGGAACACACACCACAACCAGAGACCAGCGCCACCCCTGCCCTGGAGCCCCACATTCCTCCACCACCCCTGGCTCCACGCACCTGCCTCCCAAACTGGTTGCAGGGGAAAGCGAGGATCCGCAAACCGCACTCAGCATAGCGGGCGTGCAGGTCGACGAGCTGAGTGTAGTTTACGTCCGTTTTGCCTCACTGGGAGGCTACGTTGGTTACGATGCACACAAAACCCCTGCAGGCAAGGTTACACAACCAAGGTCAGGCCAGTGTCCCTTGTCTCTCTCTATGCTCTCCCAGAGGCGGGCACATACCTGTACTTGTCCAGGTTCACCATGCGCCCATCGATGTCCTTGGCAGAAAATTCGTGCATGGAGCGCGCGCAGCGCCAATCGTCACGGGAAGCGCACTGGCAAGGGAAGGGGCGCGCTGAGCCACCAAGCAGGGAGCCCTGCCCAGACTCCAGGGGAGCTGCAGCCTAAAAGCCGGGGCCCCGGACGAGGGAAGGAGACGGGCGGGCTCCCCCCTCCTAGTGCGCGGGAGACACTGGGCACCCTGCCCCCTAGAACTCGAGACCCCGAGTAGGGTGCAGCCGGCAACCTTCCGCCGAGGACGCGCCCTCCTACGCTTGCAAGCACGGGCCTTCTGCCTGCCTGCAGCTGCCCGCCGAC